GGCTTGTCATCATAATGCCAGTGGTGAGACGTCTTTCCTTCAATCCGAGAGAGTCCCAAAAGAGAGCAAGACTTTGAAGGTACTTTGGGTTGATGAAGACCGGCTGCATGGGGATCCTAAAGTCATGGATGGTGTAGGACGCCCGTAGAGATGATGCTGTGTTAATACGATAGGAGAAGGCAGGAAGCAGCAGCATGGCTTTGCCATATTGGCACAGACTCTCTGCAAACATACGTCTGTGTTCTAAAAGAGAGCCATACCTGCAATAACAGGACATCAGTGAGAAAAATAGCTTGAAGAAATATTGCCTGAGGGTAAGAAAGATTGATTTGCTCACTTTTGTGTGAATATACTTGGGTTTGCAGTCACAACATCTGTTTTCATGCCAACATCTTTCTCATAACCGTTTGACAAAGGAGGCAAGTTACACCTAAAACAGCAGAATAAACAGTTTCTGTCATAATTATTTAAATGTATTGCTTTTCTGTGCTTGAAAAGATTCTCACCTGATAATAAACTGAGCTGAATCGATTGTTTTTCCACAGCTGCTGTTGGTCAGAATCCCACCGTTTCCAACAACAGCACATGTCTTCCTTGTTTTATTTGAGAAAGGATGCCCCTGCAGTTGTTAATCCAACAATAAAATGAAAGTAAACCATTTGCAAGTTTCTCCCTCTCAGAAAGAAGGGTGAGATTAAGAGCTACAGGAAGTGATGACCCAAAACAGGATGGCAGGGGTGACTGGAGGCTGCACTTGGTTTTGGAAAGACATTGCAGACAGGAAACATAAATGAGTAACTATGAAGGAAACACTACCATGTTGAGTCTTTCTTAGATGTTTCTCCTCCTGCTTTTGATATAAGTTTTGAGAAGAAAGACATTGAATACTGCTTTCAAACTGAAAATGTGTGCTCTGAAGTTACGGCAGAAAAATTCCACCATAGTAGCTCAGCTTCATAAAATGCATTTGTTTTCTTTACAATATTCTAGATCAATTTTGAAGTGAATAGAGGAATCTTCTGCAAATAATTGGAAGTTAAGTTTCACAAAAAATCCTGAACATGTGTTAAAAAAACCTGATAATGAAGAATACTGCAAAAGAAAGGATTATCTGTTGCTACTTTAATTTTTTAATTGACTTACTTGAAAAAAATGTTTAAAATGCTCTTCTTTAACTTCAAGGAATCTTGTTCTTTCCCCATCATAAGGAAGTGTGGATCCAACTGGCGTGTTTGTCTGCGTTAAGACGACATTATCAAAACCGTTGCATTTGAGGCTCAACCGAGTCCTGGGGAAACAAACAGCCTATTGTTTGTCTGCAATAACTGAAAATTTCTTACAGTAAAAAAAAAAAGAAAAAATTCTGATTCAACAAATGTGGAAAACAAATTACATAAAAGTAACATGTCAGCTTTAAGTGTTATCGCTTGGGACAAACATAACTCAAAGCAAGCCATTTTCTGCAGATAAACCTCTAACTTCACTGATTGTAAGCAAAAACTATAAAGTTTTTCCTGCTTATGAATGATTAATGCAGGCAACTTGTTGAAATGGGTTCTCATCAGATAACCCATTGTATCAAAGGTTCTCATTTACCAACTTTATTTGCTTTGTTCTTCAAATAAGAGGTTGACGCAGTATGTGCCGGTACACTTTAAGGAAGTAATTTATAGAATTTTAAGGTTTGTCATGTTGACTTTATTACCTTTGTTCCCTGTATTCCTTTGTTCCCTCAAGAGTCTTTCTCATTATTCACTAATGTGTAACAAATATTTGGGTTTGTAAGTTTGCCTTGACTGCTTGTCTGCCTTTTATCTTTCTCTTTCACCTCATGAACTTTGTATTTCATTAGAATATCATTACCTGAATTCAAAATTATTGTCTTCATTTTTCTTCCAAACTTGAGTGTAACTCTCCAACAATTCATTTATTTTCTCCCTGTGGAACATCAACACATGCAGATACACCTTAAGACTTGTGAATGCTGAAAAAAATTGACTTGATAATGCAGAAACAAGCACCAAAGAGCTTATCTTTTGGTGCTCTTTGAGCCGTACAAGAAAAGAGCCGTAAAAGAAAAAGATAAACCTGCTCACTCTTACCTGCAGTCTTCACATGAATCAGAGGAAGGAGCATTATCTTCATTTTTAGGCTTTTGTTGTCTTTCATTTCTGTGTCAGAAAAAAGTGGAATAAATGTGAGTCTTGTTCAGTCTCTCGCCATTAATCTGCCACAATTACAATTTACAATACCTTTAGCCACAGCTTACAACAAAATACCTCTCCACAATAGTATTAGAGTGACAACATTATTGTCAATTTGATTCTCTTATCAGCACACAATGAAACAAGGACTTGAGACAAAGAATTTTGAGAAAGAAAGGGAACCCCTGCAATGCACCCATGCTGCTGAAAAAACTGTAAAAGTAGCTAAAAAAGTTAAATGTATAATATCAATCTTTGTAGTTAGACATAAATTAGAAATTCACTTCTCCTTTAGTCTTCGTCTGCTACTAGGTGTTGTATACTAGCGGTGCCCCAAGTGCCTGTATAGCCAAAACATGAACAATTTCAAACACACGTATGCCTGAGGTAAAAACAAAAATGGCCTTTGGAGTAACAAATTACGATTAGTTTGTTATGTTCTAATTCTAAAAAGACAAAAAATTAATTTTGGAAAAATTAAAGCTGCATTTAAAGATATTGAATAAGTGCAATATCTTAACTGCAACTTCAGGAACCACCAGAAATAAGGATAGTTTTCTTGCCAATTTTGGATCAAATTGCAAAGAATGACCCCTGTAACTGAGAGTTTTCTTTACAATGAACCCCCTCAGAGAACTTTGGTCCTCTTCTGGCCACTGCTTGTATGAAAGTCTAGTTGCACCACTGTAAAAACTGAAAAGTTTGTTGGAGATTTGACCAGTCCAGACTAAGGACAGAGAAAAAGCTTTGAAACAACAACTTCTAGAAAGAAAAGAAAATGTAAAACTATTAATACAAATTTTTATGGGACTTTCTTACCGTAACTTTTGATTCTCTTTTCTCCAGGACGCAGAGCAAAGATCTAGGATGTGTTTTTTCTCCCTGTCATAGTAAGTAAACAGCATAATTTTGACCCTGATTGTAAAATGAGCAAAGATGTCATGAAGCAAAGACATTTAACACTTTGTTCCCACCTGCATTCTTTAGATGAGTCTGTGTTAAGTTGAGGAACTTGTGGTTGAAGTTTTACGCTGCAATAACCCCAGCTGTAAATAAAAATATAAAGTGTTCACCCTTTGATTTTTCTATGAGGCAAAAGTGTGAGACCGTTTTATTTTTTATATCTACAATAATTCATTGATTCCTTTTTTGCTAAAATCAGAATGTGTTTGTTTTATTAACATATTAAAAGTTTAGTTTAAATGCAGGTAAAAACTAAAAACAAAATACCGGTACGTTTACAAAAAAAGGTTGGTTAATGACGTTTCCAGTTTTACTCTCTTCCACTGACAACAAAAAACAGTTTAACTCAAATAGCAAGTGTCAAATGCTTTTGCAGACCCTGTGGGAAAATTATTAACATTAATTTAATGTTTTTTTTATTATTATTTTAGTTTTGTAGAAAACATATCTGCAACATGAACAATTACTTCAGTAAAACAACATCATGCCGCTCTTCCCAAGTAAGCTTTTATCTCCTTATCACCAAACAAACTCATACATTTTTAAATCTTGTTTGCATCATTCACGCAGAACTTACTTGTTGTTGAATGTATACCAGAGAAAAATGGTTATCAGGCTCCCCAAAATGAGAAGCTTCAAATGCAGTGAGAGCTGTCTCTTCATCTTTTCCTCTTCAGGTTAACCTCATATATCAGGTTTTGCTGTCTTTCTGTTTATAGCCGTCTATCATTTCCCATCACATGCTCTCTGAACCCACTTACATCTTTCCCTCCTACATGTTAAACATTGCTTTTATCACTTCAAACAATGAAACTGTCACCACGTCCAATAAACCATTTCTGTAGCTGTTCTATCAACTTTGTAAAAGCGTTTTCTTGATATGAGCATCTGTTGAGACATTGATTGTATTTTAATGTCTTTCCTGAAATTGTTGAGAAAAAACTATTGGCATTAATTCACTAAGCTGGGTAATATGACATTGCATTTCATTTCATGCAACTTAGTATCTTGTGGAAACTGAAATAAATTAATGTGGCCATTGTTGCCATCATTAGTTTGGTTTCCCTTTCAAAGCCAGTTTGTAAATCTCCAACATAAGATTTTTAGCCAAACCAAAACCTCCACAAAAACCATCTTAATTAGTTAGTAAGTCAAGTTATTTTTTCCTCTTGCTTTTTAAACTTTTTGTGACAACGTTCATCACTCTGCGCTTAACACTTTGCTAATTCACGTAGCTTTTTCAACTCAACTTCACTAGTCATCATGTTGCTTGTTCACCACAGCGCGATAAAAAAAATACATTTAGAAAATTTAAACAAGGTTTGAAAGAAGGAAATATTTGTCAAATATTAAGCCTACTCCGAGCAGCAACAACTGTAATCAAGTATTTACAATGTTTACTTTTTCACTTGTGTTGCCTAATATTTAAATTAGTTTGAGTTTCTGAACCAATGAAATGTGACACTTTTTCACACCAGTTACTGAGTTCATTAGGAATAAATTCTCTCGAATATGTTTTCAGCAACATGTTCAGCTTTAGGTTCTCTATAAGCACAGCAGAGATTATGTCCCCCCTCTCGGTGGCAGTGTAGCACTTTTCCGTGAGCTTCTTACCTTTTACCTTCCAACATTGGCCTTCAATCTGTTAAACTGGTCTTCACATGAAAAGAGTAACTCAGATTTTTTTTCTTCACCACAAAAAATACTTTTACTTACTAAGAAACCATAATTATTGAACAAAACACAGACTAAACAACAAACACCTGCTGTTTTACTAATAGTGAAGTCAAGTGACATTTATTTGTATTTCACATTTCAGAAAAAGATTGAAAACTCAAAATGCTTTACATTATAAAAATAAAAAGCAGCAATTAATTGTATTGGGAACAGCAAACACTACGTTGTCAAAAATCCTCAAAAATAATCATTATCAAATATTAAGATTATAATTAATTAATTATTTAGCTTTGATTTAAAGGAACTCAGTGTTTTCAGCTGATGGATGTTGTAAAAAAAAGAAAGAAAAGAAAAAGATACAAGCTCTGTCAGTTTTATATGTGAAACAAATAAATGATCTAACCTTCCCACTTTCTCAAATTATTTAAAGCTAACCTCAAATGTACAAAACCACTCACCATTTCACAGAACCAAGTCTTTAAATAAATAAATTTAAGAAGAAACTAAAAATTTATTACACCCCAAAAAGCTTGGGCAAGAATGAAATATCTAAGCCCCTATAACTTGCAGATGCAGAACTTTGCAGAATTTTTTACCATGACTGAAATTTGCAGTCACTCATATTCCAGAAGTTTCTGTCTTGTTGCTTTTTCTGTTTTACCTGGTACACTTAAATCACTGATTCCACTGGTGTGTTAAGAAGCTGTTACGTTCACTGGCATGCACTGTTGTATACAAAACCATTTTTATAAGATGAAATGTGTCACATGACAAAAGGTTTGCTGATTATTTTAAAACAAAACTTATATATTACAACGTTAAATTAATTAAAACAGACTTTGACTCTCAGCTCTGCATCAACGAGAAGCAATTTGTGATATAAAAACCCTAACCCTGCTCCCTGCTGTTGCTTCTGCCTGTTTGCTTTCACCTTTCTGATACTTTTAAGGTCAGAGACGGACTTCAGTCTGCTACTGTGCAGAAAGTCATGTTCGATGGTAAAGACACCCATGATTTTTTTAAGCAACAAGGACATGGAGTGATGAAAATCCAATTAATATTCTTTCTTCTGTAACAAATATTTTTTAAACCTTTACATGAGAGTGGTCTAGCTAATCTATTCCTCTGTTCCACACTCCCCAAGGTGTAGATTCAGCACACCTTGGCTGTGCAACTGCAACAAAAATTTGAACTCATCCGACATAACGTGTACAGATTTCTTAGCTTCATTGTTGTCATAATAATGGTGTGTCAAGTTTTGGAAGCTGTCTGGGTGAACACCGAAGGGCCAGAATCCAAACAGGTCCACGTTGTCACACAGCTCCAACGCCAGACTGACCATCATAAAACCGGTGCTGTGGCGTTTTTCCAACAATCCGTGAGAGCCCCAAAAAACAGCCAAACTCCGAAGATAGCTTGGGTTCATGAAAGCAGACTGGAGGGGCATTTCAAAGTCATCAATGGTGTGCAGAGCCCGGAAAGACATTGCTGTGTTTACAACGTAGGAGAAAGCAGGAAGTAGCAACATGGCATCGCCATATTGGCAAAGACTCTCCACAAACCTGCGTCGACTGCCTAAAAGCGAGTCGTATCTGCAATATAAAACAGCTGAGTTACAAAGCTTGAAGAAAATGTAAGTTAATGTGATAAAGTTGGAATTGTTTCTGGAGACCTGTTCACCTTTTAGATAAGATGCTCGGGTTTGCAGTGACAATGTCTGTTTTCATCCCTACATGTTCCTCATATCCATTTAACAAAGGGGCTAGGTTACATCTGATGAAGTAACATAAACAGTTTACTTTGATTTGGTTTCATTTTATTCTTAAATGTATGTCTTACACTTAAATATGTTCTTACCTGATCACAAATTCAGCTGAATCAATCTGATGTCCACATTTGCTGTTTGCTAGGATTCCTCCATTCCCAACAACAGCACATGAATGCAACGTTTTATTCAAGATCTGATGCATCTGCAATCATCACGAATGGGAAATTCAAGAACATTTTTACAAAATAAGATAATCTTTTTTGATTTTGTCTTAGAACATTCAGCTTAACTTCTTGGGGGAATCTTGAGGGTGTTGGTTAAAGTGCAGCGTTGTCCGTAATAATTTTTTGTATGTTGGCCATGTTACACCACAGGTCAAAATTTTATTGAACACATTCTTAAATAACGATGTAATAAGGAACGATGATAAGTGAATAATTCTTAATGAAGCCCAAATTACTTTGACAAATGTTGCAAAATGTTGTGAGTTCACTTTGAGAGTATGCCCCTTGTCCCCATCATAGACAATCTTCGTTCCCATTGGACTGTTTTTCTGGGTTATGATGGCGTTCTCCAAACCATTGCAGTTGACGCGAAGCCCTGTCCTGGAAAATCACAACCTCTTAGCAGTTAGCATTATTGCCATTGTACAAAAAGGGTGATCTATCTGTCATGGTGTTTTATTTATGCATTGTTCATTTAAAAATGTTTCTTTATAAAGCTGCCTACCTACTACAGGTTTTTACTGCAGAATCTCTGACCCTTTTTAATTAGAACTTGCCATTTAATATTTGATAAAAGTAACTAAATGAACATCATTTGGAAGAACCTTTAGGTGTAAATAATCAATGATTAGTTTTTTAATGAAACAGGAGACAAAAATTTGGAAAATCTTTAAAAAAAACACTTTCTCAAATGCAATTCCTCTTTATAAAACATGTCAACATAGAAAACGTTAAGAGGGTTTTAATGAATAAATCACCTGATTTCTTGGAGCTTTTTTTCGTCTTTAACCCAGGGTTGTGAATAATTCTGTAGGATTTCTTCTATTTTCTCCCTGTTGCACATCAGCACAGATACTCAGAAATGTCTATGAAAATGTCTGATATGACTTCATTTGTTGGGGAAAAAAATAAAGATGAAGACAAGATAAAAATATCTTGAACTTACCTGCAGTCTTGACAAGACTGGGGATCATTTCGCTGAGGCGGCTTCTTGCTGTGAAACCAAAAAGAAGAGACATTTTAAAGAACTGTAAAATAAAGATGGAAAATTACTTTACACAGCTTTATTGCAGTTGGTTTGTTGGTTAATGGATAACAGCTTTACAACTCTTAAGATCCTTAAGAAGACATACTTACTCAATTTCTTGATTTTTATTTTTCCAGACTTGAGAATCTTCAGAGCAAATTTCTATTCCTTTGCTTTTCTCCCTGAGACACAAAGTACATTGTACCGGTTGACAAGTTGACATCTGATATAACATGAAACAGAAAACAGAAACAAAAACCAGTTTTTCTCACTTGATTTCCTTATAGGAACCAGTGATTTTGTTCTTTACATGGTGTTGCTGAAGTTGTGTGTTGAGAAGTTTCCAGTCTCTGGTGAAGAGAAAAGAATGTTAAAAACATCTTTCCATTTCATAGCTTTCTTTTGTTTATGTTTGAAAGCAATTTTAGTAATTGTTGTGCAAACTTTGACTTTGATTGGATTGTGATTCACAGTTGTGGTCGTCGTAAAATGTGTGAAATGAAATAAAAAGTCAATTGTTTTGATGTGGATTTGTTTGAGCTTTCCATTTAAGCACAACAGCTGCTGATTTTTAAAATTTTATTGGCCCTTATTTGTTGTATTTTTTAGTATTGTGAGAGTTCCCTCTGCCTTTGCATAACAGCATATCTTTGTTTCTCAGATAAGATCCACACCTTCAATAGTTGAAGCTTATCCAACATCTGTTTGAATACTTTAACTTTAGAAAGAACATTGTCGTTGAATATATTCCATATTAGATTGATCAGTAGGATCACTTTAGAGGAAATTCAGATACAATAAGAGCACTGCCTTCACAAATATATATATATTTTTACATTTAAAGTACAGTAACTTTCATGCAACAGATCAGTAGAGTGTCACTATCACATACATGTTGTTAAATTCTCCTGCTTGTTTGCCAATGTACTAGACAAAGATCAAAAGTCAATAGCGTTGTTTGCTTTGACATGTGAACCCCTTGTCATAAAACTATTCCTATTTTGTCACCGCTGTTTTCTTATGTCATCCAATAAGCAGTGAAGCATGACCAACTGCACAAACCTACTGCTAGGATTACAACAAAAGCTTTATTCAAATGAAATGCGATACCCACTCGTGTTAGTAATCTGTTAGTAAGACCGGGATTTTTGTTTGTTTTATTATAAGTGTCAATAATTGATTTCTGCTAAGAACATTAGAAGACTCAATCACTTTTCCTTTTGATCGGTCCAAACATAAAGTTTTAAAGCTTTCATAGGTCCTGCAAAAAATGCATTGTCCCTATTATTGAATTTGCTAATATTGGTAGCAATTTTCCCATTTTCTTCCCTAAACAGGAAAAATTACACAAGCAGATTTCGGAAACAATCATAAAGGATCTTTTGGTATTCAGTAAATTTAATGTAATGCATAATTCCCAAAAACAAGCTGAAATACTTTGACAGCCATTGTTAAAATAATGAGCAACTATTACACTAGAAACAAATGGGTTTATCTCTACTTTATTTAACATGAAACACTGAATATATTTGCTGTCTTTCAAAGACGATGGGAAAAAATGCATCTCTCTAGTAACAGTTCCATGCTTTTATTAATGTCCAGGAATGTATTTTACTGTTTCCTTTTAGTTTTCCTTGTAAATTTTTGTCTGTTACAGCTTAACATAAACATTTAGCTGTCTTCACTCTATCTTATTAATCAAGACTAAAGAAGAATCAACATTCAAAGCAAAACCCTACTGCTGTTTGTAAACTTTTAAATTTAATCCAAAATATCTTTAAGAAATCCTTACCACTACTACCAAACATAAGCTTCTGAAAGTAGTGAGCAGTGCTGCTAAGAGTAGGCCACGCAAGAGTTTAGGTTTCAGAACCTAAATATGACTTCTTAAGTCTGACTTAACAGAAAATATGAGAATTGCATATTAAGTATGCAATTCAATACTTAAACATCAAAACAATATCAAATGAAGTTAGTTTTTTACCTCTATTTTTGTAAGTGACATCAATGCCCCTTGCTTTGGATCAAGGTGCTATTGATGTTTAAAGTGTAAACGTTCATGTTCCACAATGTTTTCACCCTTACATGCAAAAAGAATTCCCACCATGTTTAGTAAACAAGCAAAAAGGTGAGGTATAGATGTGAAGCATACAAATGATTTGGCCTTTCTCAGGTTCTAAAATGTTTTAAATCTAACCTCAAATTCACAAAACCTTTCCAAACAGATTCCACAGAATGGAGTGTTTAAATAAATAAAAACATTTGAAAAGAATTAAATAATTTTACCTAGAAAGCCTTGGAAAAGTTGATGAACGAATGAAATAGCAAATAAGTATGCTCCTATGATTAAAAGTGTTAGTATTTTCTTTTTGCCGTATCTATAAAATTGGCCATTCTTGCACCTGCCTGCAGCTTGTCTTCCTGTTTTTCCAGTTTTTTTGTTGCACACCCGAGTTACTGATGAATGTTATAACAAACTGTGGTTGTTTGTTCACATGAATCACAGCATAGAAAAAAAGTGAGGGATCATTTTTCAGTCTTGTTTTTATTCATTTGTAGATGGCACAATTTCAAATTCAATATTCAATTAACAAGGAAAATTAATTTAGCTTTTAGCTAAATGCGTCAACATCTCCAGATTCAACATTTATTATGATAGTGCACTTCCAGTTATCGGTTAACTAATTTGCATATTATCTAAACATTTTTTGCTTCAAAATACATATTTAGCTTGCCAACAAAATATTTGGAACTAAATATTTAGTTTGTAAACAAAAAAAAAATCTTCAAATTAAATATTTAGCTTGCAACTAAATATTTAGTTTGTGAATCAGATAATCCAAATTATTACCATTAATTTTTGATGACCGGTATGTAAATTTCCAACAGCACCTGAGCTAGTGACAAACTGTAAAAGTGCAAAAATATGTAAAATTTTAGATGTTCTGGTGAACTGCCAAGAAGCCACTCTCCTTTTGCTGCTTCTTTGTGCTCTGCCTGCTAGAGTTGAGAACCAGGTTTAGTCAAGCTCCTGGTAATCGAAAAGTGTATTTTAGGTGTGGCTGACCTCTCACTCTTGTTTGAGAAAGTGGCACAGCATGTGTGGCTCAGTGCTGATCGCATGCAAGGTGTAAACTGTGCAAATCTTTAAAAAAAAAAAACTGTGAAGGACAGCCGGTAAGCTCCTAATACTGTTTTACATGGACTTTAACTGTTTGATTGTTTTAACGGAAAAAAAAAGAAAAAAGAAATGTATATATTTATATGCACTTGGTGTTTATTAGTTAAAGCAGAACAAATATTGATAGAAAATGCTAATTTATTTGTTAAATTTTACTTTAAAATGTTTAATATTTATTATGCTGTAGGATTAAATGACTTAAATCAGTGGAAATGTATTTAGGATTTTCACAGTGTATTTGTCCTGTTGCGTTCACAATGTAATTTAGATGTTTCTGTTTCTTTTGAGGGTTTTCACCTGTATGATTGGAGCGTCATATAAAAATAAATAAAACTAAAATGAAGACTCCTTGAGTGAACCCCAGTTATATTTCACAAAAAAGATCATCCTTTACAAGTTGGGAATGCACGGTGAAATCAAATCAAGGAAAACTTGCCAGATGTTATGTGGTGGATCGTGAGGACATTCTTTGGTTTGGCTTTTTTTCTTGCCTTTTTCTTGATAATAAATAAAATAGACATCATTCTTTGCTGGATTTAATGAAGTGACCTGCATGAAGGTTCAGGGATTGAAAGCCCCAGGAACTTATCAAATGGACATCACCAATTTGGGTGGTGCAAAGAAGTTGTCAGCTTCTGCATTTCATCCCCTTCTGTTGCTTCTGCCTGCTTGCTCTCACTTTTCGGTGACATTTCAGAGCAGACGGTCTTCAGTCCCCTACTGTGCAGAATATCATGTTCAAGAGTGAAAATACCCATCACTCCACGACATGTAAATATTTTTCAAGCACCTACATGAAAATTGTCTATTAATCAGGTCCACATTTTCTCAGGTGCAGTTTCAACACACCTTGGTTGTGCAACTGCAACAAAAACCTGAATTCATCTGACATAACATGTATTTTTTTTCTAGCTTTCATGTCGTCATAATAATGGTAAGTCAGGTTTTGGAAGCTGTCTGGGTGAACACTGAAGGGCCAGAATCCAAACAGATGCACATTGTCACACAGCTCCAGCGCCAGACTGACCATCATAAAACCTGAGCTGTGACATTTTTCCAACATTCCGTGAGAGCCCCAAAAAACTGCCAGACTCTCCAGGTACTTTGGGTTCATGAAGGCAGACTGGATGGGCAACTTAAAGTCCTCAGTGGTGTAGAAAACCCGGAAAGATAATTTTGTGTTTTCAGAAGAGGAGAATGCAGGAAGCAGCAACATGGCGTTGCCATATTGGACCAGACTCTCTGCAAACCTGCGTCGACGTCTTAAAAGCGAGCCGTATCTACAATATAAAACAGCTGTGAGTTACAATGTTTAAAAAACTATAATTTAAGGTGTTACAGCTTAAATTGTTTCCTCACCTCGTAGCTAAAATTCTCGGGTTTGCTGTTACAATGTCTGTTTTTACCCCAACATGCTCCTCATATCCATTTACTAAAGGAGCCATGTTACACCTGATGAAGTAACATAAACAGTTTGATTTGATTTGGTTTCATTTTAATTTAAAAGACATGCCCTACACAATGTTTATACCTGATCACAAAATCATTTGAATCAATCATTTTTCCACACTTGCTGTTTGCCAGGATTCCTCCGTTTCCAACAACAGCACATGACTGCAACATTTTATGAAAGACTGGATGCTTCTGCAATCATTATCAACAGGAAATTCAACAATATTTTACAAAATAATATTAAATTCATCCTAGAATATTCACCAAATATTGAAGGAGAAGCTTTGGGTTGTCTGCTACTTTTTTTAATAGACCAGGTTTGGCCAAAAGTCAAACTTTTGTTATTTTACCACCAAACCTACAGATAAGCTGAGGTCTAAAATAAATGTTTGATTTCACTATGAAGTTTATTATAAATAGAAGTAGTCGAAAATAGAAGTGGTAAAAAAAGAAAAGAAAAAAAAACTTGAACCCAGAGACAGCAGAGATCAATTAATTGTTCAAAAGTCAAATTTGTAAAAATGTTGAAGGATCATCTTTGTACAACTACATGTTTCAGAAATAAGGAGTTACATCTCTTTATGGTCAATAACATTTCACTAGTAGATACCAGTTCTTCCTTCTCCAATATAAAATATAATAATTGTAACACAAAATGCTTTGGGTAAAAACAAAACAAAAAAAAAAAAAACATAGAATGATAGTAAATATAATATCAAAGTCCACCAGAAATCACATTCTTAAAGAGTGATGTTATAAGAAAGGGATAATCAGGCAGTAATAGTAAATAAAGCACTACATACTTTGACAAATGTTTGAGAATATTCTGAGCTCACTTTGACATTATTCTTTTTCTCTGCATCAAAGGTGATATTTGTTCCAGATGAACTGTTTTTGTGGAGTATGATGGCATTCTCCAAACCATTGCACTTGAGGCTAAGCTCAGTCCTGGGAAATCACAAAATCATGTCTTAGCAACCTTTCAGAAGTTAGCATAATGTAAATGTTTGCCATTGTACAAAAAGGGTCAACCAACTGTCATATTTTTTTTTTATACATTGTTCAATTAGAAATAATATTAATTTTGTAAAAAACATTGTTGTGAACTTTCAAGAGGGCAGTGAACACTACTTTTGGGCAACATAGACAACAATCCAAAGACAACTTGATAAACCTAGCTGAATACATCATAATATGTGCAGCAAATCTAAACTGCTCTGTCTTGCTCCATAAAAAAATTATAGCTGTCAAGATTAATGGCCTGATGACCTTTAAAGATCATGTTGGCGCCAACAAACAGAGAACAGTAGTGGATTTTTAAGTAGATAAGATCAGCTTCACATCTAAATATGGGTCGATCACCAATCTCCCAAAATTAAGAAAATTGGGTTTGATTTATTGGTAATCTCCGAGGGTTACTGGATGTTTAAATTGTTCCTTGATGTATTTTCAGTTATTTTCAATGTTTCAATACGCAATATAATATATACTGCAAGTTTTTACCACTGTATCTCTGTGCCTTATTAATTTGAACATGAAATGCAATATGTGAGAATGATTGAATTAGAATTATTTTAAATGGACTACAGGATTAATATCAGAAATTAATTCATAAAAATGTTGATAAAGATGTACTAAAACTAATGAAAGACATGCACAAATGCCATCTTTGAGTATAAGACATGTCTATATAGCAAACATTATAACTAGAGAATTTTTCATTTTCTAGTTTGAGGCATTTAATCATAAATTTACCTGATTTCTTTGTGCTTGTTTTCATTTTTAACCCAGGGTTGTGAGTACTTCTCAAGCATTTCATAAATTTTCTCCCTGTTGCACATCAACACATAGAAATATGGCAAAAATTACTTGATTTGTTGGGGCAAAAACAAAAATAACGTCACGTGGTCACGTGGTGAAACTTGAACTCACCAGTCATCTTGAGGTGAGGTAAAAGACTGTTTCTCGCTGTGAAACCAGAAAAAGGTCATTTTCAAATCAAGGTAGACAGGTAAGTAGTGATTCCTTTACTTCTTACACAAGCCTTTAATTTTTGCATATCTTTTATTTTTCCACATTTTGGTGATAGTTTTCCAACACAGACCTTACACACTGAGTGCAATACTCAATACTCAATGTAATAAAATTAGAGAAAACAATTGAGTTCTAAAAGAAGAGAGTCAATATTACAAATGTCTGACAAGAGTGAGTTCCAGATATGGGGAGCAGACTGGTTTCTACTATTAATAATAATTGTATTAATAATTATTATGATATTAAATCTTACTCTAGCATTGATGCTAATCTCTAGCATCGATGCTTATTTCTAGCATTGATGCTAATCTCTAGTATCAATGGGTTCCAACCGACACACACTTTAGCGGGCCGTTTACATTTTACAGAAATTTCCCAGTTGAAAACTTGAAATTGATCCAGTTTTTGTCGTTTATGAAACTTCTAGAAATTACAACGACTGCGTTTCACCAGGCGAAGTGAAAATGACGGAGATAAAATCGGATTCATTCCAAAGACTCAAAAAACGTTGCTGAAGCAACGACAGACAACAGCTACAGAAGCCCAAGCACTGACCTTCTTCCCACTTTCTTGATTTTCTTTTTAATAAAACCTTTTCCTGATGGATTAAATGTGATACCCTTATCTAGCTTTTGTACTGTTGACCACTGATAGCAAAACAGTGTCCCTTTTTCAGATTCTTTCCTGGTATTCCTGTCTAAATTCATAGCAATGGCGCCTGCGTGGCAATGGACACAACGAATAAGATTAGCCTACGTTAAAAAACTGTTACCTGACTGCTCCTCATATTCCAGTAGGAATGGCTGTGTAGGAAAAACGACAAAGTACGACTGCATGACTGAATAAATTAAAGAGAAACTTACTTATTGTATAGTATAAAGTTGATAAAAGTAGTCAGGAAGATACCCAACAGGAGGGAAGGCAAACACCGTAAAAGCGGTCGTTTCATACCTCCTTGTCCTGCTGAGTACCCTCTCTTATGGCGGGATCAATCTTTAAGAAGTTGTTGATATAGGATATTGTTGTTGATTTTACAGTTGTTTGGATATAAATCGCTCAGTGGTCTTCTGACTGACAAACCGAACGACCAACCGAACTCTGGTCAATCAAGTTAGTTGATTCTATCTTCGTGCTCTCACGATTCTCTCGCCGGTCACTTCCGCTCTGTCCGCGCTTGCGCAACGTGACTTGTATATAAATGAATCACACTATCAGCCAATCACAGACAGGGATTGCAAATACTACGTTCAATTAGATGAAAAGCAGCCAATCACAACCAGTAAATTTGACAGCTTTCCACTGTATTGCAACCGGTTCTCAACCAATCGATAGAGGCAAAAATGGCAAAAATTAAAGAAGGTTTCCAACAGTCTCAGGTAAAATTAAAAATATTTTGGTTTTAGTTTTCCTGTTTGCAGATCTTGTCAGTGAAATCGCTTATTACTTGACCGTTTTTAAAAGAAAAGTAACAAAACCAACGCAAATTTTCGACATTATAAAATTGGCAGTAACACAGACGCAATGGTGTGCAGTTTACGAAGAAAAAAAAAAGAATTTTAATAATGATGTTACAACTGATGGCAACTTATTAGTTACAGCCAACTGTTGGAAGTTGTTGCAAACATTACAGGATAAAAACATATTTAATTGAATTCTGCAATGTGTATAAATGTATACAGAATTACTTAGTTAAAATAATGAAGTGGAACAATGATGATAAAAAAAATAAAACTACACCAGGAAATGTTTGAAATCTCGATGTGATTTTTTTTTATATTTGATACCAAATAGACTCACAGTGATTTTTTAAACTTCAAGTTAATTGTGTTTTTACTCTGTAACGTTTGACCTAAAACATGTAACACCTGGTTTAATTTTAGGTAATGACAAAAGAGTCTGTTGTCAGACGTCTGGCCACATTTATCTTGACACCGGACATTTAATGACATTTTACACAAGTACTGCTGTAGGAGCCAGAGTTTTTCTAAATATTTTACAAAATATTTTTGTTCTATTTGATGACTGGTATGAATGGTGCGATGATCAATGAACGAACAAGGCAGTAAGTCCAGCTTTTTATTTTATTGAACAATCAGAAATTACAGCAACTGCGTTGAGCTGCAACATAGAGAAATAACTCCGACAAACAGATAAAAACAATTCAAAACCACTCATTCTTCTTTCACTCATCCTTTGCAGCAACACTTTCCTCAAAAAGGCAGTATAATATTTCTTCTGGACTTGTAACTCTGAACAAGACACTCAAAGTGTATCCAAAAGCACCTAACGTGTGTTATAATTTATGTAAAAAACTGTGCAATTTGTATTTTTATTTTTTTTTATCTATTATAATTATGTTTAAGGCAGGACAGGCATTCATGTTGTTTATTTAAAACAAATTATTTTTTCAAAGTGGCTAAATGTATTAAACAACTTACATTCAGTATCTGGTGTTTTTATTTAGTCACAATATTATTCTAAAGGAGGTATTTGGTTTCCATTAAAAAACAGTAACCCTGACTCAAAATGCATCACTAACAATGTAACATAAGGCACTAAACAATGATAGCCTCACAAAGGCACGTTACTTTGTCTCTTCCAGACATCAACCTGAACAAAACATAAATAAAGTTGTGAAAGAAGATGAAATCTATACTAGTTACTGTCTTCTTTTTGTTGCATTTTGATCTCAGTACAAGTTTTGTGGTTGCAGATAGGTTCTGGTCTGTGGAGTTAGTCAGTCTATTCCATACAGTCGTGTAATTAAAAGAAAGTCTTGATGGTTGGGTTCACCTGAGGCAACTAGGAATTCACGTGGCTCTTTGCCTGAGAAGTCTAGTTTGGCTCTGCTTTGCAGTCTCCAAGGTGCAATTTGAGAACACCCTGATTGTGGAAACGCAACAAGTGGTTAAACTCATCTGACATGGCGTGGACATTCATCATGAATTTTTTGTCATCATAATAGTGGTTAGTCAGAGTTTGAAAGCTGTATGGGTGAAAATCAAAGGGCCAGAATCCATACAGCTGTACGTTGTCACAGAGTTCCAGAGCCAAGCTTGCCATCATGAAACCGGTGCTGAGCCGCATCGCTCTCAGGCCTTGAGAGCGCCAGAAGAGGGCCAGGTTATGGAGGTACCCCGGGTTGAAGAAGATAGGTTGAATGGGACTTTCAAAGTCCTCAAGTGTATAAAAAGCTCTGAGAGACACAGCAATGTTGTGGAGATAGGAGAAGGCGGGAAGCAGCAGCAAGGAGTCGCCATAGCTGTGCAAACTTTCCACAAACTTACGTCGACGCCCCATTAGTGCCCCAAACCTAGAAACAAGGTGACCGGTGAAGAAAAAAGACTAAAGTTAGAATATTTAAATCTCCAGATTATGATTACTCCCCATTACTTTGGGGAGTAATAAATTAGTTACTCCCCAAAGTTTGATATTTATGTACGCATTTGCATGTGATAATCAATTCTTGAGATTTTGCTGAAATTAACAGACATCTACAGGATATGACCTTAACGCACTGTTTCGCAACGACTCAGGGAATGACTTGAGTTGATGTAAAACAACTTTGCCAGCACTAGTCATCTGTATAACAGAAGGCTATTAACAGAAGACAGCAATTTTTACCTCCAAAAATTACCTTGAAATGGGAACAGTACTCACTTTTCCATAAGGATGCTTGGATTTGCTGTCACAAGGTCCGTCTTGATGCCAACATGTTTCTCGTACCCATTTGACAAAGGAGGTAGATTGCACCTGTCGAAGTAACACAAGGACAGCTACTGTTGGATGGAGTTTCAAAATGTGGAAAAACCTGGAAAATGTTCTCACCTGATAACAAACTCGGCTGAATCAATCGTTTTGCCACAGCTACTGTTTGCCAGGATCCCACCATTCCCAACAACAGCACATGTATGCCATGTTTTATTTGGGAAGGGATGCCCCTGGAATAGAGCAGAAACAGAAAACTTTAAACACATATTAGTTCCATTTAATTTAGTTGAATTTTAGGAGGTTTACAGGAATCTAAATACAAAGTATAAATGGAGTGAAATCTATATGTGACAGTTTTATTTTTTCAATCTTACGGATGTGAAGTTTGTCAAAATCTGTTTATGATTCTTTAAATTTACTTTGTTCAGTCAGCAAGTTATTCCTCCAGACTTTTATTGCTGTTTCACTTTCTGTTGTGCCAGATAGTGGTTACCATCGTAACAAGTAACTGACAGCTCGTCTCCTTTCTCTATCTTCTGCTCCTTCTGTAACTGTGGGGCAGAAGCTGATAGCCTGATGTTAACTACCACATTGATTTCCTCTTTTGTTAGAATAAATATAATAAACTTTAATGTGTCCGTCATAAAGTGAACCTACTGGACCTGAGACGAACACAGAAGGATTACATCTGGTGCCCTGACCCAGATTAAATATACACTGAAATATTTCCCTCTAATTAATCTGCATAATATGAGTTTCACTATCTGGCAAAGCTTCTTGAAAAGTTACATCAGTCAAGTGCAACATTCAGATTCAGATCAAAAGGTGGAACAATTATCTGATATCAAATGAAAATTGAAAATGACCTACTTTAAAAAAGGTGCTGAAAATCTCTGGGTTCACTTGAAGAGTTTTGTTTTCTCCATCACAAACAAGTTTTGTTCCCACTGGAGTGTTTGCCTGGGTAATTATAGCCTTCTCTAAACCATGGCACTTTGTGTTCAGCTGCAACCTGGGGAGTCACAAGTAGTCTGACGAGTCAGTGCAACATAAAATATACCTGGACAGAAACATTTACTTAGGAGTCAAATTTGGTAGATTCCTTTATGATTAAACGTTTTCATTTCTTTAAATTAACACAGAAAGCTGTCAAGAGCACTTGATCTGTACAATTAGTTTCATTACTTTTAAAGGAAGTTGTGATATATAAATGATGGACTCTAGTTCCTCTTTCATAAAATGTTTGAATTCCGCTGGTTTGGGATTTTGTTACTCTTTTTCATAAAAAGCAAATCTAATCCTCATTGCATCTTTGAAGAGGAAGTATTATCTAAAGTGGCACATGATGCCACTTTATTGCACAATTAGGTATTTTACTTTCAGTTTTATAAAAATGCTGCATTTATCAAACAGAACTTAAAAGAATTGGACATCTCAAAATTTGCTCATGCTCTTTCTGACACTTCCTCACAAATGATGCCATTTAGAACAGTTCTTAGAAGCATTTGGACTGAGACCCAGCTGGTATAATAAGCTCAGCAGACATGCAGTTGTTTGCTAACTACTGCTGCCACTAGTCTGGTGGAGCTTTGTGAAAATATGGCGATTTGAGAGAACAAATGTTTAGGACCACGACATAAAGCTCAAAAGTCAATTTCACAGGATACAGGTCCTTTAAGGTCACATTTCACAAACTGTTTAAAGACTGATACCAACACTAAAAAAGTTATTTTAGTTTAATTAATTTGACTCTGTCTTACCTGAACTTTTGGTAACGCTCTTCTTGTTTCTTCCAGGCTTCAGAGTACTGTTCCAACACTTTGTTTATTTTTTCTCTGTCATGGATAAACACATCCAGATACACTATGACATTTGTAAACACAGTGAGTCTACTTGTTTGCTGACATGGCAAGACATGATTATGGTGTAAACAAGGCGAGCCATGTAAATAAAAACATTAGTTCAGTTTGTTCTCACCTGCAGTCTTTGCATGAAGCAGATCTTGGAGGACCAGTTTTTTTTTCAGAAAGTAATTTCTTAGCTTGTACACGACTGAAGAGAAAACCATTAATTTAAATAAGAATGCAAATTCACATTTGTTTCTTGTTTCTTTTGCTGCAACCGTCACACACAGACCTGCACATGGTCAGGTCTATATGACTAAACCTTTAAACATTCACTGCCTCAATAAAGTCTTCATGCCTCTTAAATTCTTAGGTATTGTTATCTTAATCACCATTTCACTGTTTTTCATACAACAGGCCCTTCCAAAGTAGTACAATAAAAGAGCAAACTATCTGACACAGGTGTGTGTTTCTAGAATCCCCCTTTGAGCTGGTGACCTGTCCAGGTTGTACCCCACCATCTCTGAGTATAAGACATGTCTACATAGCAAACATTTGGCTCCTAGTTTCATTTTCTAGTTTGAGGCTTTTAATCATAAATTTACTTGATTTCTTTGTCCTCTTCTTCGATTATAACCAAGGTTTGTGAGAACTTCTCAAGCATTTCATCCCTGTTGCACATCAACACATGCAGATAGTCAGTAAAGTCTAGGAATATGACATTACTTGATTTGTTGGGGCAACAACAAAGATAATGACATCAAATTAAAGGCAAAAGTCAGGAATGGTGAAATTTAAACTCACCTGTCATCTTGACAAGAGGTAAAAGACTGTTTCTTGCTGTGAAACCAGAAAAAGGTCATTTTTAAATCAAAGTAGACAGGTCGGTAGCAATTCCTTTACTTTTTACACAGGCCTTTTATTTTTGCATATCTGTTATTTTTCCACATTTTGGTGATAGTTTTCCAACACAGACCTTACACACTGAGTGCAATACTCAATACTCAATGTAATAAAATTAGAGAAAAGAACTGAGTTCTAAAAGAAGAGAATCAGTATTACAAATGTCTGACAAGAGTGAGTTCCAGATATGGGGAGCAGACTGGTTTCCACGACTAATAATAATTTCATTAATAATTATTATGATATTAAAATAAATTCCTCAAACTGTATTTTACTCTAGCATTGATGCTAATTTCTAGCATTGATGCTAATTTCTAGCATTGATGCTAATCTCTAGCATTGATGCTAATTTCTAGCATTGATGCTAATCTCTAGCATTGATGCTAATTTCTAGCATTGATGCTAATCTCTAGCATCAATGGGTTCCAACCGACACACACTTTAGCGGGCCGTTTTTAAGTTCACAGAAATTTCCCAGTTGAAAACTTGAAATTAATCCAGTTTTTGTCGTTTATGAAACTTCTAGAAATTACAACGACTGCGTTTCACCACAGCGAAGTGAAAATGACGGCGATAAAATCGGATTCATTCCAGAGACGCAAAAAACGTTGCTGAAGCAACGACAGACAACAGCTACAGAAGCCCAAGCACTGACCTTCTTCCCACTTTCTTGATTTTCTTTTTAATAAAACCTTTTCCTGATGGATTAAATGTGGTACCCTTATCTAGCTTTTGTACTGTTGACCACTGATAGCAAAACAGTGTCCCTTTTTCAGATTCTTTCCTGGTTCCTGTCTAAATTCATAGCAATGGCGCCTGCGTGGCAATGGACAAAAATAAGATTAGCCTACGTTAAAAAACTGTTACCTGACTGCTCCTCATATTCCAGTAGGAATGGCTGTGTAGGAAAAACGACAAACAAAGTACGACTGCATGACTGAATAAATTAAAGATAAACTTACTTTTTGTATAGTATAAAGTTGATAAAAGTAGTCAGGAAGATACCCAACAGGAGGGAAGGCAAACACCGTAAAAGCGGTCGTTTCATACCTCCTTGTCCTGCTGAGTACCCTCTCTTATGGCGGGATCAATCTTTAAGAAGTTGTTGATATAGGATATTGTTGTTGATTTTACAGTTTGGATATAAATCGCTCAGTGGTCTTCTGACTGACAAACCGAACGACCAACCGAACTCTGGTCATTCAAGTTAGTTGATTCTGTCTTCGTGCTCGCACATTCTCTCCCCGCTCACTTCGGCTCTGTCTGCACTTGCGCAACGTGACTTGTATGTAAATGACCCACACTACCAGCCAATCATAGACAGGGATTGCAAATACTACGTTCAATTCGATGAAAAGCAGCCAATCACAACCAGTAAATTTGACAGCTTTCCGCTGTATTGCAACCAATCAGAGTCAACCTGTTCTCAACCAATCGATAGAGGCAAAAGTGGCAGAAATTAAAAGTACGAGCCATTCCAACAGTTCCAGGTAAAATAAAAACTGGTATTTCATATTGGTTTTAGTTTTCCTGTTTGTAGATCTTGTCAGTGAAATCGCTTATTACTTGACCGTTTTTAAAAGAAAAGTAACAAAACCGACGCACATTTTTGACATTATAAATTTGGCAGTAACACAGAAGCAATGGTGTGCAGTTAAAAAAGAAAATTAATTTTAATAATTATGTTACAACTGATGGCAACTTATTAGTTACAGCCAACTGTTGAAAGTTGTTACAAACATTACAGGATAAAAACATATTTAATTGAATTCTGCAATGTGTATAAATTTATACAGAATTACTTAGTTAAAATAATGAAGTGGAACAACTATGATGATAGAAAAATAAAACTACACCAGGAAATGTTTGAAATCTCGATGTGATTTTTTATATTCAATACCAAATAAACCATAGACTCACAGTGATTTTTTTTAAACTTCAAGTTAGTTGTGTTTTTGCTCTGGAATGTTTTACTTGTTTGACCTAAAACATGTAACACCTGGTTTAATTTTAGGGTAATGATAAAAGAGTCTGTTGTCAGACGTCTGGCCACATTTATCTTGACATCAGACATTTAATGACATTTTACACAAGTACTGCTGTAGGAGCCAGAGTTTTTCTAAATATTTTACAAAATATTTTTGTTCTATTTGATGACTGGTATGAATGGTGCGATGATCAATGAACAAACAAGGCAGTAAGTCCAGCTTTTTATTTTATTGAACAATCAGAAATTACAGCAACTGCGTTGAGCTGCAACATAGAGAAATAACGCCGACAATCAGATAAAGAACAGCTCAAAACCATCATTCTTCTTTCACTCATCCTTTGCAGCAACACTTTCCTGCCTCAAAAAGGCAGTATAATATTTCTTCTGGACTTGTAACTCTGAACAAGACACTCAAAGTGTATCCAAAAGCACCTAAGGTGTGTTATAATTTATGTAAAAAACTGTGCAATTTTTATTTTTATTATTTTTTTATCTATTGTATTTATGTTTAAGGCAGGATAGGCATAATCTTTCATCTTAAGTTCACTATAGTGAAAAAAGTGTTCAGTACCAACACATTCATGTTGTTTATTTAAAACAAATTATCTTTTCAAAGTGGTTAAATGTATTAAACAACTTACATTCAGTATCTGGTGTTTTTATTTAGTCACAATATTATTCTAAAGGAGGTATTTGGTTTCCATTAAAAAACAGTAACCCTGACTCAAAATCCATCACTAACAATGTAACATAAGGCACTAAACAATGATAGCCTCACAAAGGCACGTTACTTTGTCTCTTCCAGACATCAACCTGAACAAAACATAAATAAAGTTGTGAAAGAAGATGAAATCTATACTAGTTACTGTCTTCTTTTTGTTGCATTTTGATCTCAGTACAAGTTTTGTGGTTGCAGATAGGTTCTGGTCTGTGGAGTTAGTCAGTCTATTCCATACAGTGTGTAATTAAAAGAAAGTCTTGATGGTTGGGTTCACCTGAGGCAACTAGGAATTCACGTGGCTCTTTGCCTGAGAAGTCTAGTGTGGCTCTGCTTTGCAGTCTCCAAGGTGCAATTTGAGAACACCCTGACTGTGCAACTGCAACAAGTGGTTAAACTCATCTGGCATGGCGTGGAACTTTGTTTTGGTTTTTCTGTCATCATAATAGTGGTTAGTCAGAGTTTGAAAGCTGTATGGGTGAAAATCGAAGGGCCAGAATCCATACAGCTGTACGTTGTCACAGAGTTCCAGAGCTAGGCTTGTCATGATAATACCAGTGCTGAGCCGTATCGTTCTTAAGCCTTGAGAGCGCCAGAAGTGGGCCAGGTTATGGAGGTACCCCGGGTTGAAGAAGATAGGTCGAATGGGGCTTTCAAAGTCCTCAAGTGTGTAAAAAGCTCTGAGAGACAGAGGAGTATTGTGGCCATAGGAGAAGGCTGGAAGAACCAGCATGGAGTCGCCATAGCTGCGCAAACTTTCCACAAACTTACGTCGACGCCCCATTAGAGCCCCAAACCTAGAAACAAGGTGACCAGTGAAGAAAAAAGACTAAAGTTAGAATATTTAAATCTCCAGATTATGATTACTCCCCATTACTTTGGGGAGTAATAAATTAGTTACTCCCCAAAGTTTGATATTTATGTATGCATTTGCATGTGATAACCAATTCTTGAGATTTTGCTGAAATTAACAGACATCTACAGGATATGAAATTCACGCACTGTTTCGCATCGACTCAGGGAATGACTTGAGTTGATGTTAAAACAACTTTGCCAGCACTAGTCATCTGTATAACAGAAGGCTATTAACAGAAGACAGTAAGTTTTACCTCCAAACATTACCTTGAAATGGGAACAGTACTCACTTTTCCACAAGGATGCTTGGATTTGCTGTCACAAGGTCCGTCTTGATGCCAACATGTTTCTCGTACCCATTTGACAAAGGAGGTAGATTGCACCTGTCGAAGTAACACAAGGACAGCTACTGTTGGATGGAGTTTCAAAATGTGGAAAAACCTGGAAAATGTTCTCACCTGATAACAAACTCGGCTGAATCAATCGTTTTGCCACAGCTACTGTTTGCCAGGATCCCACCATTCCCAACAACAGCACATGTATGCCATGTTTTATTTGGGAAGGGATGCCCCTGGAATAGAGCAAAAACAGAAAACTAAAAAAAAGCCAAACTTTTTATCATAAAAAATAAAAACAAATAAAGAATAATTACAGACAATGAGGGTGTTAATGTTAAAATCTAGAAAGGCAAAAGTTAAATAAATATATATACATTGGAAAAATAAAATGATGTGTATTTTTTCAGCTAGGTTTTCATAACAAAAAGTGTCAAAAATATATTGAAATACATATGAAGAATGATATTTTACAGCAAAAAATGAATAAATAACAGCAAAAAAAAAAAGAAAAGACAAGAGGGATTTGCTCATGAGAAGAAGTTCAATTTTTGGAGAAGAGTTAAACTTTTCACCAGTTTCTTATTATTAAAGTTAAGTTTTCCAACAGAGGCAAAACACAAATGACATAAAACGTACATTTTTAAGTCAGTTTCTTGAAAGTTATTAAAAGAGGGGACTTTTTTCAGTCCATTTCATCTTGTAGACGTAATATTTTGCTAGTATTATAATAAGATTCACCATAAATATTTCATCTAAAGAAAAAGTTGAATTACTAAAGGTGAGTAAAATCTATCAATTTGATAACACAATATTTTTTCCAATTTTTTCTGTAAGGAGTTTTTGCAAGCATGACCAAAATATGGTAGTGTGAGATGACATAATCAGCCAGTTATTCCTCAACACTTTATAACAGATGGTGGTTTACATAATAACCAGTAACTGACAGCTCGTCTCCTTTCTCTATCTTCTGCTTCATCTGTAACTGTGGGGCAGAAGCTGTTAGCCTGATGTTAACTACCACATTGATTTCTCTTTTGTTAAATAAATATAATAAACTTTAATGTGTCGTCATAAAGTGAACCTACTGAACCTGAGAAACACAGAAGGATTACATTGGTGCCCTGACCCAGATTAAATATACACTGAAATATTTCCCTCTAATTAATCTGCATAATGTGAGTTTGACTATCTGGCAAAGCTTCTTGAAAAGTTACATCAGTAAGTGCAACATTCAGATTCAGATCAAAAGGTGGAACAATTATCTGATATCAAATGAAAATTGAAAATGACCTACTTTAAAAAAGGTGCTGAAAATCTCTGGGTTCACTTGAAGAGTTCTCTTCTTCTCTCCATCATAAACAAGTTTTGTTCCCACTGGAGTGTTTGCCTGGGTAATTATAGCCTTCTCTAAACCATGGCACTTTGTGTTCAGCTGCAACCTGGGGAGTCACAAGTAGTCTGATGAGTCAGTGCAACATAAAATATACCTGGACAGAAACATTTACTTAGGAGTCAAATTTGGTAGATTCCTTTATGATTAAACGTTTTCATTTCTTTAAATTAACACAGAAAGCTGTCAAGAGCACTTGATCTGTACAATTAGTTTCATACTTTTAAAGGAAGTTGTAATTTATAAATAATGGACTCTATCTAGTTCCTCTTTCATAAAATGTTTGAATTCCACTGGTTTGGGATTTTGTTCCTCTTTTTCAAAAAAAAGCAAATCGGATTCTCATTGCATCTTTGAAGAGGAAGTATTATCTAAAGTGGCACACTGTGCCACTTTATTGCACAGTTAAGTATTTTACTTTCAGTTTTATGAAAATGCTGAATTTGTCAAACAGAACTTAAATGAATTTGACTTTGCAATTTGACGTCTAAAAATTGTCATCTGTCTCTTTAAGAAGCTCCTGCTCTTTCTGACACAATTGAATGTCTCCATTATGCCATTTAGAACAGCTCTTAGAAGCATTTGGACTGAGACCCAGCTGGTATAAAAAGCTCAGCAGACATGCAGTTGTTTGCTAACTACTGCTGCCACTAGTCTGGTGGAGCTTTGTGAAAATATGTGGCCATTTGAGAGAACAAATGTTTAGGACCACGACATAAAGCTCAAAAGTCAATTTCACAGGATACAGGTCCTTTAAGGTCACATTTCACAAACTGTTTAAAGACTGATACCAATATTTAAAAAAGTTATTTTAGTTTAATTAATTTGACTCAGTCTTACCTGAACTTTTGGTAACGCTCTTCTTGTTTCTTCCAGGCTTCAGAGTACTGTTCCAACACTTTGTTTATTTTTTCTCTGTCATGGATAAACACATCCAGATACACTATGACATTTGTAAACACAGTATTGCTGACATGGCAATACATGATTATAGTGTAAACAAGGCAAGTCATGTAAAAAATCTGAACGTTTGTTCAGTTTGTTCTCACCTGCAGTCTTTGCATGAAGCAGATGTTGGAGGACCAGTTTTCTTTTGAGAGAGTAATCGTTTCGGTTGCACACTGCTGAAGAGAAAAAAACAGAAATTTGAATAAGAATGCAAATTCACATTTGTTTCTTGTTTCACAAAGACCTGCACATGATCAGGTCTTTATGACTAAACCTTTGAACATTCACTGCCTCACTAAAGTCTTCATGCCTCTTAAATTCTTAGGTATTGTTATCTTACAATCACCATTTATTTAACTGTTTTTCATACAACAGGCCCTTCCAAAGTAGTAAAATAAAAGAGCAAACTATCTGACACTGGTGTGTGTTTCTAGAATCCCCCTTTGAGCTTTTTTCTTAATAACTCTGCTCATTGGTAAATGTAGTCCACTTGTGTGTCAGAAAATCTCAGTATAAATCCAGCTGTTTTATAGAAGGTTGAAGTTCTGTACAAGAAAACACAGTTATGATAGGTTTGTTTTAAGTTTTATTCCGTTGTGACTTTTTGTCTAATTAGGTTAATTTTAATACATTTTCATTGTGTGTTTGTTGGTTTCACTTTAGTTTGTACTACTAATAGTAGTTTTAGTTTTTTCATACATTAGTTTACTTCAGGTGCTGATTTCAAAAAGTGAGCAAGTATTGTATTATGACTGTGTATATAAATTTCTGTTAAATTGACTGGTTAGAGAATGAGTCAGTAATCAGGCTCCTGGTAACTCTGGAGGAGATGAAGGAAACTTTGAAGACTGAAGGAGATCTACATCTCTATTAGTTGTACACCCCACAAATCTGGATTTGATCCAGCGTGACAAGAAGACCGTTGTTTAAAGAAAGTCATAGATAGGCTTGCGTAAGAAACAGAGATGTGTAAGAAGCATGAGAGAGTCTAGAAGCTTTTAATTGGGATTTAACATTGGCTGGCATATGTGTGAAACCAAACGTCACAATCAAACAATTCAAATCACTCCAAGGAAGGAGTGATTTTGGTGGGTGATATGATTTTGGTGGGTGATAAAACTTTTATTGCTTTAAAATACCACAAACATCTTTTGTGGTATCACTGTGATAATGATAAAAGTGACAATAAGAAAGATTGGGAACCCTTTATTTGAAGACAATGTCATAAACATGATATAACACCTGTTGTGAACATGGAGTTTTTATGAATGTTTATGACAGGTGTCAATATTTACCAAGTTACACTTTTAATACAAAGGTTAAAGTGTCATTATTATTCACCCTAAAAGGTAAGATTCACCTTTTAGGGTTTGAATCATTGCATATTTATCTGTTAAATTGGCCCAGTCAAAGTCCATCCGATCCGGCTGAACTGAAGTATGGGCAAAAATGTCAAACTAATATAAAAACACCTCCAAAAAACTATTTCAAAGTATTACTTCAGCATATTTTTATTGAAGGTGTATGTGATTAACTTAAGCAAGGCAGTGTCGCACAGATTTGCCATGAAAGTTGCAGAAGTTTGTGGTTTTCAGGTTAAAAAAGTTTGAGAGGGAAGAAATGCTTTTGCATGCATACTGTAAGTTAATCAATCTGCAAACACTTTGCACAAGCAGCATCGACATCTTATTCATGTCTCAGCTGGAGACTTCCTGCGTTCTGTGGTATGTATGACTATCTTGTGTTCTCACGACTTCCTCTTCCTGTTTTGTATTTTCAACCACATGATGACCTTTTAATTTTAGATAAGTTTGTATTTCTAAAAGTGACATGTTTCACGCCTAGACTTTGGTTATTGCTGTTCTAAATTTAGAGGAAATAATTTCTGATTCTTTTGCTTCTTTGTTGCAGGAAAACATGTTAACAAAATGTTTAATGATATTTCTGATGATCAACCTTACAACACTGTTTCTATGTGATATCATCGTAACACTTTGTAAAACTATCTTTGGGATTCAGAAATTGAATGATGAGTTGTGTATTCTGGGAACCGTTACTTTTCTTTTTATAGCATCACTTCCTCTACTTGTTCTCCCTTGAGAGCCTCTTTGACTCCTACTGTTAAACCCCAGCAGAGTGACTTTTCCTTCATTGCTCATGATTAATGTCCTAACCAATGTTTCATGTGTAAGAGGAACTTACTTGTTTTCTAGCGTGTACCAGATGAAAGTGGTCAGCAGACTCGCCAGCAGGAGGACAGTGATCATCAAAGAGAGGAGGGGCTTGAAGATCTGTCCCCTCATACCTTTCTTACCCGTTAGCCCCTCTCTGCTTCTGTTTCTCCTCTCATTCACTCTGTCTGCTCTCCGCCACGGCCGCTATGATTCCAGTTTTCTTCGTCCTTCCTATGTTTGCTGCCTCATAAGTAATCTTTCCCAGCAGCCTCCAGCTGTTTTCTAACACTATTCTTCAAATCACTTCATTTTCCTGTCTGCGAGGCGTCACTAAGTGTTTCCTCTCAACTGTTGAAGGTGCAAGTCAAAGCCTGCTCAGTCATGCCACCCCCCTTCCTCTTGTACAGACAAGTCTCTGTAGCTCTTCTTTTCCTTTCTCTCCTCCTGGGGTTCAGTTCAGCTTCGTTGAAAGTGTTGTTTTGTCGATCTTCCTCATCTGTTAATCCTTTTCATGTCTTTTTGGTCCAGTCTATGTTTTTTGTCTTCCGTCTCTTTTTCTTTCCACATTTGCCCGCAGAGACAAACTCACACAGCCCTATTTTCCACCAGAGTCCCACAGGGAGAGCAGTTTCTGTTCTCCGCCCCCATCGCCTCAGCCTTCTCCCTTTGCTTGCCCCTCCCGCCCCATCTGTCCTCCGCCCACTCCTCTTAAACCCCCTCTCCCTTCTCCTATTTTCACAAAGGGGAGGTGATTTCCCAGTACTGAATTAGACCACAGTTTGCCTCTTGTACTCCTAATGCTCCCCAAATCTCATCCACACTTCCAGAAGCTGCCTTTTTTCTCATGGCAAACTCCTTCAGCTGTACCAGCTTAGTGAATTAAAAAAAAAAGTATCTTTTTTTATTCTGGAAGAGGATGTGGATTACCAATTAACCTGGTGTGACGTTGGCAGAACATTAAGCCAATAAACTATTAAGTCAAAGCTTAAACTTTTCAGTAGCTTTGTTCCCTGTACTGGAAAAAGGAATTAACTCTTCTCATGCCCATATGGACTGCGCTAAACACAAAACTTCTAAAACCTCCTGCATCTGTATGTTATTGGATTTTGGCTCAAACAGAACAAGTCTTTGTGTTTTGAGCGAAATAAATGAATCATGCTCTGTGCCTGCATCCTGAGTAAGCAAAGCTGGGCTAAAGAAATCTCACCACCCACACAACCCAAAACAAAGGAGTCTGTGGAAAGTATTCTTTAAAGGCACATTGTCTGTTTAAGTAAAGCTAAGTTTAATTCTGATCAGATTTAGTTAGGATTCTCTTTGGGTATGCAAAACTAAAGCCTCTCTCTTTTGCATTTGAGTACTACAAGATCCTGCGTTCAGAGATCTAAAATTATTTCTTTCTGGCTGGAAGTCAAACGAAATTGTTGGGTATAAGAACAAAATGAAACGCTAGTGGAAAGAAAAACTGCCATGCATCGCAAGAAATGTCACAAAAAAAAACTAAACAAAAAAAACTCTGTCACGCATCAGCATTTGCATGTTGATGCATTTCTATTGCATTAACATATAAATGTTAATGCAATAACATTTACATGTTATTGCATGTAAATAACATTTACATGTTAATGCAATAGAAAGGTTGGGCAACTACAGCCAGAGCTGCCGAACACTTGTTCTGCATTGGCAATCTGTTGACGCAAATTTCCAGACCTAACATCTGATATCCACTCATTACAGCTGGTCAGTGGTTAGCATTTCCCAGACAGTGGCATTTCCATCTCAAAACCCCATGAGCTTTTTAACAAAATTAAACCCAAAGAACCTATTGTTTGTGATGACATTTAAAATCTCATAATGCAGCAGACATCCCAGCATTGCCTAATTCTCTTGCATGTTGAAATCCCTCTGATGCCTAAATTATAAGGAATGATAGACGACTGTATCAAGATAAAGCTTTTTTAGCTATGTTGATGTCCAGTTTCCTTGAGACTTAAAGTAGGACAAATGTTCATTTCCTTCCAGCAGACTGACTGAACTCTGTTGTTTCTTTGTTACTGGCCACACTGGTGTTTCATAAGCCAAATCAATTATGTCACGCAGTTAGTAATCATTGAATCTGAAAATTTCTTGGGAAACTGTTTGTTGAATGTCTGTCTGCATGAAGGTTGTGAAAGAAGTGCCAAAAATACATCTTAAGTTTAATCTTACGTAACTTCGCAATGAGAAAAGTTGCATCATCAACAAATCTCTGTGAAATGTTTCCATGCAAAACTTTGCAATTAATTTTGTCATACTGCTTATTGTGCAAGGTGAATAAATATAATCCAACTCAATCTAATCAATCACCTTGTTTAATCAATATCACAATGATTTAAGGCACCACTATTTCTCTGCTCTTTAACAACAATGTATACTGGCCAGTATAAAATAGTAATAAATATGAATCTAGAATTATTTCAGTCATCAATTTAATGTGGAACTGATTTATTTACACATCACATCTTAACTCAAAGGCTCAAAATAAAAATAGTTTTTTTAACTTCTGCCATTTTTCAAAACATATTTGTAGAGTTCTTGAAACATTAATATTTTTCCAAAACACAAAGATATCTACTCCTGGTACTGACATGACATTGAAGAAGAAGAAGTCTATTTGTTTCTCTGTTTCAGCCTCAGTGATGTGAATGCAAACAAGCCTGGTTAAATAAAATGCAAATTTAGTTGTTTGTTTTTTTGGTCCGGGTCAGAGTTCAATTGCGCGTTCACACCTCCACAAACAAACTGAACATTCCAGGCAAATGAACTGGAGTTGGATTAAAGGTCAATCAATCCCTATTTAATAATCTGTGAAATAATCAAGCTCCTACACCTTCTCTAGAAACAACCAATCAGAGTGAGGAGACGAGTCTTAGCGCTGTCAATCCACTGCTATGTGGCGCTGCTCCTCCCATTGCCTCCCCCGCTACACTAGAGAGTCTGTAGTGAATGCTCTGGTTTTTTAGCATGTCCACAGTTGACAGTGGAGTAGTAAATTCTTTCTCTGCTATTAACACAAATAGCAGCGAGTACATAAGGATGATGAGTAGCAGTCAGACCTTTCTCCTCGCTCTGACTGGTTGGCAGTAGTGGCTCAGGAAGAAGGTGGAGGTGATCAATCTTTTGAGAGATTATTTGTCTCACACCATATGGCCATGACATGACATACTGAACAAATATGTAAAAGAAATGTTTTATATAAATAGAAGTTACATACTGCAGCTTTACATGAGCAGAAAAAAATTGGTGGAGTAAATTTGAATAAAGGAATATGCAGTGTTTTTTAAATTAAAAGGCATGTTTTTTCTGTATTGGCAGCCATTGGAAGTTAACAGGCCTCTAGCGACACTCTTGCAACACTCTTCCGATCCCAAACAGAATATTTTCTTATTCTGCAGCTGTTGGCTTCACACTTGTACTCTTCCCTGTGAATCCTCTCATAGTTTCACAGGAGATGTGCTGGAAGACATGAGCCTCAGGAGGGCAGTAAGGGAGTCATGTGGCTGAGGAACAGCTGATCCCGGTGCATTCCTCAACTGCTTAACATGAGGCCTGCGAGCTTGCGCCCATTTGACCTATTGACGCCATGCACTTCTCAGACACATGCACTGTGAAAACACTGAGCTGGCAAATGTCACGAGTAAAAACCTCATGCTTGTTTCACACATTTGTAAAGCTATACAGTAAAAAAAAGAAGAAAATCTAGGTTTATTTGTTCAGTCAGAGAGAAAACAATACTGGAGTTAATTTTTTAAAATATTTTCACCAGGTTATTCATACATTTACAAATCTCAGAGTTCCAAATTAGATATTTAGTTCACAAGCTAAATATTTAATTCCAAACTAAATGTTTAAGTTTAAGCTAAATACAAACTTTTCAAACTAAATATTTAGCTTTCAAACTAGACATGTATTTTAAAACGTAAATATTTAGCCTGTGAATTACATATTTAGTTTAGAACTTTGAGATTTGCAATTGTATGAATGACATGGTGAAAATATTACTTATTCATAAGGTTTTAGTTGCAAACTAAATATTTAGAATCCTAACTAAATAATTATTTGAAAGCTAAATATAATATTTGAAAGCTGCTGGTTTATTTAAAAAATGCATCAAGAGATGACTGTGACACTTTATTTCACTTTAATTTTACTTCACTCCAGATATTCCCAGAGTTCTTGATCGTCCCTTGAACCAAAGAGTTTTTAAAGAATATAGGTCTTGAGACTAAAATTCCCCCTTTCAGGATATTCTTTTGGTGTCTGTAGAAAATGTTTGCGTTAATTTGGCATTTTGAATGGTTACCCTGCTTATTGAGGACAACATTGAGGTGCTTGTGTCAAGTTCATCCTCTATTTCGTGCCTCTAAACGTTGTGCTGCCAAACCTTTGGCCGTGTCTACAAGGGAATCTATTTTTTCCTAAGGGAAACATGAACACATGGTACCATTTTCAGAAATATTTTAAACTACATGGAAATACACAAGGTCTCCCAAAACAGTATTTTTACTCCCTCAGATCTGAGAGTGGCGCTAAACATGCACAGAAAGCCTCGATATGAAGTTAGTGGTACGAACAAGAAAACAAGAATGGCGAACAACGAAGCATGAGTGGAGTCTCGTAAAACTGCTGCAGCTGCTGTCAAAACTTTAATGAGGTTAAAGAGTTAGGCAGCACAAGCAAAGATATGTGATCCACCATTGTTGTTGTTATGTCATGTTTGGAGTTATATATCAGGTTACTGGTAGGGCTAATGATTCACAACAGAGGCGTTTTCTCTATCCACTCAGGAACTAGTTTTTTAAAAAGCACACATAAGACGCCATTTTGTGAAGACGCAAGGCACAAAAGGTCAAAAACGTTCCACTTTTAGCAAAAAAAACCCAAAAACTGTACCTTTTGGAGTCGCAGTCTCCAAGAGTGGTGGCAAAAGCAAATTGAAATAGTAACTTCTTTGAAAGCCTTTTATAGCAGAGGAGTGGACTTGAACTGTGATACTTGAAAATGTGTTAAACTTCCGTTCACAAACTTAATCGCTTTAGACTCAATTTTATAGCAAAATAAATTGCTGTTATGTTTAGTAGAGAGAAAAAAACATCCAGTTTGCATTTAACTTAATCTTACACAAAGAATGATGAGTCAGAGCCAATAAAGTAACTAATAAATGGTTTATGTTACATTTCTTTCAGCTTTTTCAGTCAGTCATGGAGAGTGGAAAGTAACTGACTCAGGTGTACTCAGGAGGGATGGGTGGAGAGATTACGAATTGGCTTTTGAATCAGATGTTAGCATAACACGGGCTTTCCTTTATTCAAATTAAACTTTCCTCTGATTATTTTGTGCTCACAGCAGTTGAACCTAAATCTAAACAAAATCAGTGCACCCTAACTGGCAGAGGCATTAGGACCACATTCATTTCTAGTAAAATCAACTTGGTCAGGAAGTAAATTTATTTTTAAAACTGTTTTGTAAACGCAACTTTTAAAAATTATTTATAAATATTCAAAATGAGAATTATTCTGTGATTAAATGATGAATTTAGTGAAATAACTTGTTATACTCTTAAAATTTTAAGTATGAGAATTGAACTCCACGTCAGACTTTAGTCTGTTTACCTGGGACTTCACACGTGCATTTGGACATGAAGGTAAATTGGAACCAGGAAGCAGCTCGCTTATTTAAAGGAGTATGTGGTATATCATAATTATTCCCCAGTCTGCAGTAGAAGCATTCAGACAAAAGATAAAACATAATAATAAAACTTGCTATTGTTGTGCATTGAATAAAAAGAAAAAAAAAACCTTTTGTGCATTTTATGTCTTTTTTTTTGCAATACAAGGACATAAAAACATTTGTTCTTTCAATCATGGGACAACAAGAAAACCAGTTGGATTACCAGTAATTCTTCAAATCAGTAACCGCTTGGAGTGATACTTTGGTGTGGTGAGTTTTTAAGTTTTTATATTGCAGAAACTGAATAGGGAAGTAAATTCCAGTGACATGCTTGCCACTCCTTGTCAACAACACAGACATGAAATAACTAATAAGCACAAATTAAAGAACAAACTGTGACCCAAATACTTTTCAAATGTTCTTTTTTCAAAATGATGATAACTTTTATGCACTTTGACGCTCACCAACTCTACTGTTGTTTTGGAAAGAGTTAGATAACCTTGCAGCCAATCTCCAGCAGTTACATCACAGGACCCATTATAACCAGTAAAAGTGATTTTTATTTTGTGGATTGCAAAATAAATGTAATATTTCCCCAAATAAATATAAGACTCAATACCATTCTGATACAACCAAAAAAGTCAATTCCATCTCATAGTGTAAACAAGTGACTATTTACCCTTTTTCTCAATAGTGGTCAGTTTGCTTCAATGCCGTTTTTGTCATTTACAATAATAAATATAAACAGAGCTCACCTTATTTGAATAGATAATGTGTTATAATATTTTTAATGACCTCCCTTGAGAAGACAGTTCCCAGAAACATTTTGTACCTTACATTCCTTTCTCTCAACAGGAATAAACATGTCAGTCATTGACACCTGTCATTACAAAAAAAGAACATGCTCTCCTTTATGTAACTACTTATTGACACCTGTCAATAATCGTGTTATTGACAGTCCCCCAGGTGTAGGCGTAGCACACCATTTTTGTGCAATTGAAGGAGGATGCTGAACTCAACTGGCATGGAGTGAAAATTGGTATTTGGTTTTATGTCATCATAATAGTGGTTAGTCAGGTTTTTGAAGTTGAATGGATGAATACCAAATGGCCAAAATCCAAAAAGATGCACGTTGTCACAAAGCTCCAATGCCAGGCTTGCCATCATGACTCCGGTGCTGAGCCGTGCTTCTTTCAGCCCGTGTGCGTGCCAGAATTTGGAAAGTTTAATGAGGTATTCCGGGTTGATGAAGACAGGTTGGATGGCGGATTCAAAGTCCTGAATGGTGTAAAGAGCTCGCATGCAAACAGCTGTATTCATGCCAAAGGAGAAGGCAGGAAGGAGCAGCATCGAATTGCCGTAGCTACTCAGCGTTCTCATTAGCGGACGTCGACGTCCCGTTAGAGACTCAAACCTACAAATATAAATATAATGTGGAAAAAAAACAATCAGTGATGTTTTTAAGATGACAAAATAACCTTAGTGGTTTATCTACTCACTTTTTTAAGAGAATGGTTGGGTTTGCCGTTACAAGGTTTGTTTTGGTTCCAACGTCTTTCTCATATCCGTTTGACAAAGGAGGCAGGTTACACCTGAAGAACAAACATGAATTCAGATATGGCAATTTTCAAATATGATAGATTTTTTTTTCAACATTTTTCTCACCTGATGACAAAATCAGCTGAATTGATCATTTTTCCACAGCTGCTGTTTGCCACTATCCCACCATTACCAATGACAGCACATGTGTCCCATCTTTTATTTGAGAAAGGATGACCCTGAAATCATTAAATTAAATTAAACAGAACATCTTAAAATACATTACAGGTCTTTTCTTCTGTGTGTCCAAATTTCTCTATGCGACAAGCGCGTTGGTGACAACCTCGCGGTTGGATGGAATCTCACCGAATAACTGAAATAACACTAAAGAACTTAAAATGAGAAGAAATTAATTAAGTATAGAAAAAGAAAAATAATGTTGAGGTGCCTATTTTATACTTGAAGTTTTCCTCTACACTACCACTTTGGGGGAACTGTTGGGTAAACTTACAGAAAACCCACATGCAAAAGAAGGAAATTTCAAATGTTTATTTAACCACAATATTTTCTAGGAGTGCACTGATAAATTTGACCAGATTTCATTAATTTTAGCAGGTCAGCCAATACTCACACATGAAGCCGATCTAATCTACCTCCAGAAAGGTCTAAAAATAAACCACTATCTATTTTTCAGCCTTGAGGGTTGACTGTAAATTTATCTTCTTTATATTCCATCTTAACTGCTGTTTTTCCTGCCAAAATGTCTCAGATAATAATCTGTTTCTAGTCTGAGTTTTGTTTCCTATTGTCTTAGTCTTATAAGGCTACAAGAATTCTCTAAAAATTATTTTGTCGTTGTCTAAATATTCTAAAAAAAACTCAGAGGGAGATTATATGATTGGATCTTCTCGTATTACTGGTGAGAAATAGACCTGATGTAAATATTAGCTTTGTCCCTCCCATGTTCTTTGTGATTTTTAGCTTGTAGCTTGTTGAATATTGGGAACTTGTCAGGAATAGTCTGTTGAAGGACTATGACTGTGTGGTTTTTGCCCAATAAACTATTATGCTAGTCCCTCATCAAAGTCGGATCGTTGATAAGGGTGAAAGATAGGACTTTCATAGGCCTTTATAATCTATCTACATGGCACACCAACAAAACAAAAGATCTGGGAGACATTTGATGTGCCAATAAATATGCATTAAACCATTATCTCTCCCATGTCACCAAAGAGGGTAGAGACGGCTCTGTTGTTTCTAAAGGAAGAATATTCAAGAAAAAACAAAAGAACCATGAGGTTCAAGACATGATGCGTTGTAAGAAAACAACTTACTTTTGGAAATAAGTCGTGCATCTGTTGGGTCACATTCAAAATCCTGTTCCTCTCACCGTCATAAACAAGCCTGGATCCCACTGGAGTGTTCGTCTGGGTTATGACGGCTTTATCAAAACCATTGACGTTCACTCTCAGGTCCAACCTGTGAAATCACAAAAAACTCATGCTAAATATTTTCTTTCGGGGTACATTAACGACAGCCAAATTCATTAATTTACAATGACATAATGAGGTGATAGAAAAAGTCCTTACCTAAATTTTTCGTAGTTGAAGTCTTGTTTTGTCCAGGTTTCAGAGTATATCTCTAATGCCTGCTTAATTTTCTCTCTGGAAAACAAAGACAAATTCAACAACAAAGGAAGCTGTTATTTTCTATGGTGATATCTTGTATCTTTATGTGATTTGGACTCGAACAAACAGACTGCTAAAGTAAATAGCTGCAGATGTTTCTTTTCTCACCCGCAGTTTTCACAAGAAGCAACGGTGTTAGGTGCGCTTCTCATCTGCTGCTGGTTTTGGTTACTTTCCCCATTGCTATGATACCCCAAAAGACAAAAAGCAGAAAAAACATCAGCAAAATGATAAACACATACACACACATTTGTCAGAAATTCTGCGATTTCTTTAGCTGTTATATAAAAAAACTATTATTTTTCCCTTCACCAGCTCTGACAGTTATAGAGAAGGTTTTCTAACGTCTTTGTAATGTAGCCTATTTAGCACATTTCACGGAATAACCCATTACACAATTATAAAAGCATCTTTATGCAACACACCTTTGTTTGAATTGGCTGAAATAAAAACCCTTTTGATGCAGACAAAAGGTCTTCTGATTCTAACATGGATAAAGCTCATGTAAGACTTTAGTCCGTTTATTCTATTGATGGATTTCTACTAAATACACTTTGTTGAATTGTATTTGTGCAAAAGTGTTTCAAGGTTACCGCAGCAAATGTTATTTTCGTTTAAAGGAGCTGGTTCACAGATTTCAAATACCAACTACAGCTCAGCATGTCATACTTTCCCAACTTAGAGTTTCTGAATGAGTCACTTATGACTGTCTGTAAAACAATTTTTAATCCTTTTCCTTTAAGCATAGATTCTCTGGAAAGTAGCTGAGTTGTAAAAAAGGTATGATTAGGAATATTTTATGGGTAGAAAGGGCAGGTACTTATCCTGCAACCAGAACGCTGCTGATTCAAGTCCAAAATTATCACTATGTTCCAGGGAGAGCACTAAAACCGATCACCAACGTCTTTATTGATATATATATTGGTGTGATTGTACACTTCTACTTACTGTAACTGAGGAAGTGAATGAAAAAGTTATAAAATTGCAAAGCGTCTGAGTGTTTACAGAAGTTCTATGTAAGACCAATGCATTATTATTATTATTATTATTATTATTATTATATTATTATTATTATTATATTATTATTATTATTATTATTATTATTATTATTATTATTTATATTTATATTTGCAGTTACTATTCTGTCCAATATATAACAGACAATTTACCCAAATATTTTCAACAACCCTCAAGTGAAATGTGTTGTTAAATAACTAAAAATAAAAAAAAAAACATGTATTTTCAAAACGCATAATTCAGAACGTAATCCATAATCCTGCTAATATTTGACTAGCAGGATCAGTACTTTGACTCAACTAGTGAAACTGAGTACTTTGTCCACCTCAGCCTATTTATTACATTATTCAAGTAGTTCAGAAATTTTCTATCAAAATGTTATATTTTATGCAATTGCCACAAAAATTGTCCTTCTCATCACTCTGACAGTCACAGTAGCATTATTACAGTGATAATAAAAAATAAAGTTGCTGTTTTTGTCTGAAAATTTTCCTGAAGTATGTTTCTCTTCTCCTGGAAGAACAACTGTTAATCAGAGAAGAAGAAACTGAATTTCTAATCATATAAATAAAAAATGTTGTGTGAATATGATTAAAAAAACCTAAGCATGTTACTTTTGAATTACCTCTTGTAAAACCAAAGTTCTTTGACAATAAACCAACACATTTTTTATTGCAGAAAACTTGAGTTTTTGTCTTCTAAGATTTTAAGTTGCTTACCTGATGACCTGTAAGTACCACACCAGAGTCAGCAAACTCCCAATAAAGACGATTGAAGTTAAAATTCTTCCCCTCATCCTTTTCTATTTCTGCTAATTTTTCCTCTCACTTTCCGTCTGCTTTTCTGCATTGGAGAATTTTGAAGCTGTTCCTGAACGGTCTCATACCTCGGATGATTTCATGCTACTTCCCCCTCCTCCCACAAAACCTGTTGTAAGAACGCACATCGGCACATCGGCACACAGGCTTCATTCCAGTTTAATGTTTAACTATTGTGATTGCTTAATTTCTGGTGTAGATTTTACATATAGTTAATGTTAAATTAAAACAGTTGTGAGCCATGAGAAAACCAAATAAAAAAAAGAAGAAATAATTAGATGAGATAAAGAATTTTGTTTTCTTTTATCTCATTCTAAACTGTTATATCTGGAAGGACTCGGCGACCGCCTTTCTTCCAGAAAGTATCTGGAAGTCATTTTAGGTTGTTTGTTTTGGCAATGTATTTGAATGAGTCAGTCATTCTCTGAAACCTTTGACAAAGTTTATTTTTTAATAAATACAGACATATATCATTTCATGATATTGTAGAAATTGTTAACTAGCAGCAATCAAATGAATAAGAGGAGCGTCAGCTGAGCTTAAAATGCCCATATAAAAATACTCTTGCAAAGTATATGTGTCATTTTGCATGTACTTTTCAAAGTGACACATGCAAAGTGACACCCCCCTTAAAAATGTCCACACCCCTCTTAAGACACTCAAATATGCAAAACTTAATAAACCTGTGAAATTCAACTGAAATAAAAACTAATCTGTGATGGAGGGGAATGTTTCAGACATAATGCTACCACTTTAACAACTCATAATTTCCTCTGGCTCAGTATAGATTTAACAACAGATCTTGATGCCGCCACCAGGATATTTCATTAGCGTTCCTTAGAATAATGGGCTGGGCTGTTGAAACAGATCTGTGTAATTTTGACACTTCTCTAAACAAAATGTGACTGCAAACATTTGAGACAAATTTTACAAATACAGAGAAACTTTATGATCAGAAACTACAACCATTTTGTTAACTTAACACTTAAATCTTTACATTCCGAGTCTCTCCATGTCAAGCCTCCTCTCTAAGCAGTAAATAGCACCACCTACTGGTAACAATTACTACAAGTTCGTTGCACCTTTTGCATAAAATAAAGCTTCATTCCCACCTCTGTATTTTCCCCTGAGATTCTGACTTCATAGTGTCATAGCTTGTTCAAATTAATTATTATATCTCCATATTTTTCAAAAATTAGATATAAAAGGAAAAACTCATACTCCCTCATTAGGCAACAGCCTTTTGGTCAATCTAACCTTCTTGAGTTTGGCTAATTGGAGATACATGCAATGTGTTTTTCTCCACTTAGATATAAATACAAATATAGAGAATATAAATAGATATGCAAAATAAGTTTGAACATTCAGCTTTGCTTTATTTTCTCCAATAGAAATTTGGTTCATTCCACCAAAATAAAAACAATTAATAACTCATATAGTTCAAAAAATCAAATAAATCAGGCAAAAATGTCCTGAGTAATAATAATCACCAGTTTAAAAGTAATTTTGAAATTATTATATTTATTAGTGGGAAAATGCTATTCAACGTTAGAGAATCATTGATGCCCTGTTGGAATACTTTTGTTTGGTCAGCCATGACGGCTCATTGCTGTTTCTTCCCTTTGTGGATAATGGTTCTCACAAGAGGTCAGGCACTTATAGAAATAATATTCTTTATATTATTATTTGTGGAAAACTGTTTAAAAGTGCCCTATCATTTAAACAGGTTAGGGAAGGTCTATGCAGTACAAAAACATAATAAATGCCATTTTTATTTTTATTTTTTGGGGCATAATTTATTTTTAGATCATGACATTTCAGAATAAGCTGTTTTAAGGCCTCTTGTCACTTTAAATGGCATAGTAAATGAAACACTAACGGACACTTTGATGTGTAATATGACAGCATTTGGGAAAAAGTAATATTTCGATTGTTGACTGCATTCTATGACTTTGTATTTTTCTGTTTTTATGACGTAAAGCCCTTTGAAATGCCTTGTTACTGAAATTGTCTATACTAATAAACTTGATTGATTGATTAATTGATAAACCCATATAAGTTGCTACTGGCTACATCTCCCAACTCAAAGGTCAGACTCATGTGAGCATCTGATCAGTTGTATAATAGAGCAGATGCTCAATTGTACAACTTTGTTCCTGCTGATTTGTTACTTCACATTGTGGAGGATTTTTTTTTTTAACTTCTTATGTTTCAAACACCAAAAAACATGAACATTTTTGCCATAAAAGAGCTGGATGGTTTTTTTTTAGTGCTTGGACATTTTTAAAAGCAGTAAAAAAAAAAAACATATGGAAGTACAAAAATGTGCAAAATGTATATTTTCATAATACATTTCCTTTAAAGGCACAAACCTGAGTAGACATCGACAGGGTTTTATGTCACCATTATAGAATCTACATACATAAAAATTATCCAAAGGTTTCAATGTTCAAGAAACTAAACCGTTTCTTGGCAGTGTAATTTTATACAAATTACAGAAAACTTATGTTCCCTCTGGGTGTGTACCATCTATCTTATTATAAAAACCTTTCATTCAAAAGAAAATTACGTGTTTTGATAGATTAATCTTTTTTCCTCCAAGACTAATAATAATCACCTGGTTCACAGTCCCCCAAGTGTAGTTGTAACACACCTTGGGTGTGCAGGTTCAGCAGTAGGTTGAACTCCATGGGCATGGCATGGAGGTTCTTTTTAGCTGGTTTATTATCATAGTAATGGTTACTCAAGTCTTGGAAGCTGTGTGGGTGAATACTGAAGGGCCAGAATCCGTACAGATGCACATCGTCACAAATTTCCAGCGCCAGGCTTGTCATCATGATGCCACTGCTCAGCCGTAGCGACTTCAGCCCTGAGATTTCCAGAAGACGGCCAGATTCTCAAGGTACTGTGGGTTCAGGAAGAGAGTCTGGATGGGACTTTTAAAGTCCTCAACAGTGTAGAAAGCCCGCAGAGACACAGGGGTGCTCATACCAAAGGAGAAGGCAGGAAGAAGCATAATGGAGTCACCATAGTTCCGCAACGTCTCCACAAAAGGACGGCGGCTTTTCATTAGAGACCCGTATCTACAGACATAAAGCACATATGAAGACAGATGGTTGTATAGGACAAACTGGTTATAAATTACCTCTGAAATTCATAAACTCGCTCACTTATCTAAGAGGATGCTTGGGTTTACTGTCACAAGGTTTGTCTTTCTACCCACATGTTTCTCATATCCGTCTGAAACAGGAGGTAGGTTACACCTTCAATACAAAATAAACACAGAAGCTGTTACCTGGAATGTATGCAGTATAACCGTAATTATAGAGTACCTCAACTGGAACATATTTGTCACCTGATGACAAACTCAACTGAATCAATCATTTTTCCACATTGGCTGTTTGCCAGGATGCCGCCGTTCCCAACAACGGCACAGGAGGCCCTTGTTTTGTTTGAGAAAGGACTAACCTGGAATCAAAATTTAAAGATTAGATCATGATGTGGAAATGGAAATGATTGTATGGAATGAAGTGTTGGAAGTATTTGTTGACATTTTTTATTTTTAGTTGTGTTTGTCATTGACTTCTGGATATTGACCTTGGCTTTAACTAAACTGGGTTTTTTATGTTTACTTGTATGATTTGTAATTTCAGTAAATCTTTGTTTCCTCACATCAATTTTGATTGAATATTTATAATTCATACTTGTACATTGCTGTGGCCACATTGCAAAAACACTAAATCCTACTAAGTATATCTGGTCCAGTTGTGGTGCAAATATCTTAGTACATTTGATTTAAGACAAAGACAACTTTAAAATAATTTTACAACAAGATATTGGAGTTTGTTTTAAGCAAATAACTCATTAATATCAATTTAAAAAGTAGTACTTAAAATATTAAACTGTAACAGCCCGAATGTTCTGTTTGGGGGTTTTATGTGTGAAAAATGTTTGAGTGCTTTTTGGTGTTGATGTTCTTGATACACTTGAACTTAATCTCTAATTTGTGGGCTGCATGTAGATTAAATCTGACAAAGAGAGTGAGAAAAAGCAGAATACAAGTAATTTGTTAGCGTTATTTTCCCTTTGTTGTAGTACACTGGAGCGACGGTAATTATTAAAAAGTTTAATAAACGACAAAAACTGGACTAACTGCCTCCGTTGTTTGTAAAACGTGGCGACATTCAAAACAATCATGACATCGGATGAAATACTTCATAGAGTATAGAAGCCACAGTAAAGCTAAGCTAATTTTTTATCCTAATTTTAAAAGCGGCAATTATGTGAAACTAAATTATTGGTTAATTGTTTATATATTGACAAATCCAGTAATGTATATCAATGCCTGTGTGCTGATACTGGTTTAGAAAAGTCTATTGAAGCCTTTCCTCAACATATATGTTGATTGTATTTTAACAACATTAAAGAAACAGAAATAACTCACCTTTGGGAAGGTGCTGAAGATCTCTGCATTTATTTGAGCCGTCCTCTTCTTTTCCCCATCATAAACAAGCTTCGATCCCAGTGGAGTGTTCATTTGGCTAATGATGGCTTTATCTAACCCATGGCACCTGCTGCTCAGCTGCTGACTGGGTAATAACAAAGACTTCATTCATTGCATGTATAATGTAAAATCAAGCATTGTAAAGTCAAACAACACACAGACTGTACCACTCTGTCTGCTACTGGAGGCAGCCTAGTTCAAAGCAAGAGGAAGATGGATATTTTTAATGAAGTTTTACAATTTTTTTAAGGAACAAGTGAAGCAGTCGTGGGTTTTTCAGAAACAAAATCTATGTACTTAAACCATCCCATATAAGTTTATTTTTTACAGTTAGTTGTTTTTATAGGATACTGTAGGATGCTTAAATGTCATATAATTTAATTTACAGATTAGTTTACAGGATATGATTCTAAGATGAAAATAACTACGTAAACTCAGTTTAGTAGATAATTTCTATCACATAGCTATTAGATAATGTAAGTAAGTTATTTGAACTTGTCTTAAGTCAAAGGTTGTCAAAGCAAGTAGAAATTAGTACATGGTCAGTATTAAAAGTCCTAGGATAAAATCACACTTAGCTACTAGATTCTAT